GTCCCGAGGGACTAACTTGGCTGCACTTACCCACGCTCATGACGATGCTGTTGGTAGTCCTCTTGAGATGATTACCCCAATCTTCAGGGGTTTCGAGCATGTCATGAAGCAACTGGACCATCTCCGACTGTTGAATCTTGGTGTGTTCTTTATCGCACAAGGCTTCTGTGAAGTCCTGATGAACGACTTTTCTCATTACCCGCCAAGTGGGCGTGTTGTTCATGAGAAGCACATGGTCGCCTTCGCCGATAATCCGGCCGACTTCATTCGGCGGACGGTTACTGGACGTGGCGCTCTTCTTCTCTAAAAGTTGTTTGATGATCCGCCGGTCTGTGAGAACAGCTACAGTACCAGGTCCCAGTTTAAGGGTATACAAGCCGCCATACTTCTTGGCCCATTTAGTGAATCTATGGTGGTCAGATTGAAATGTGGTAGAGCAAGGAGGAGACTCACTGAAGGTAGAGCTTCTGCTTGGGGAGCTGATGTAAGTTACCAATGACGGGCAATGTTGGCGGCCCTATGTCAGATTGTTTAGCAATGCAGACTTGCAGGTAGGTAGAATGTTGGATATACCATGTGGAAAATTGCGGCCTCGTTTGCCCACGAATAAGCAAATATATAGCAAGAAGCTCGCCGCAAGAAGGGCACTGCCTAGGAGCAAGAAGGAGGTCATGGTTGATGCGGCGAGAGATGAGATATTGTGGATGATCAGGAAGGATTAAGACCTCGAATCCAGATTGCTAGCTCTTCCCATTACTATATGGTGACTATTCACATGTTTCGTGTGCAACTGTCCATTGAGCACAAACCATGGCAGGCCCCAGTATCATTCCCCGCATCTGCAGGAACCGACGCTGGAGCCGGTGACGCTAAGGTCAGTCCCCATTCTTCATCTTGGTTTTCATTTCTCTCTGCCCCATGTATTGCCGTGGCGGTACCCCGCTGCTCGTGTTGATGTGTGGGGAACCCCATCTCGATGTTGTTGGTCTGTGCTGCCCCCAGCCGAATCACTTTCCACTAGAAAGACCGAACGCAGGAACTCCCCATTGATGACAAATGGACATGAAGACCGGTAGCAGAAACAGCGGTCGAAAGAGTGAGGTTGCACGGTAGACCTTGCACTGATCTGCAGTGTGACGAGGCTGAACCCCTGAAGCACAAATGGATTGAAGACCCCGCAGGGATGGCAGCATTTGCTACCTGGCCAAGAACAGACGAGGTTGACAGAACAAAACAAAACTGGCAAGAGACCTTCAGTCTATTCCAATCTGCATATTTTCTGTTGGAACCTCAGGTGAGCGAGAGGGTGAGAGGGAGGCGACGAGGTTAAGTGCCGACTAGTCATGAAATCCGCCCAGGAGAGTTGCACGTGAGCACGGAGCTGATTTAATCCGGTCCGAATGCCGGACAAACTGCGCCACCCGATTTCCAACTGCGTTCGCTGCAGGCACCACCACATTTGGGGAGACTCGCACATTGCACTGCGTAAGATGTTGTGCTAGTTCATTGTCTGTCATGCAACAATCCTTTTCTAGATTGAGGTCACACATCAGAGCTTCAACCCATGAAAAGACGGTCTGTTCAGCTGCGCCACAACCGCCTTCCTCAGACATGGACAAGATCAAGGCTGCTAACCAAATAGCATGGCTATGCTTCATACAAGAGTGGCAACAATGGGCCAGCCACAATGGCCAGCATACCTTTTGCATATGGCCGAGCCATCCGCGTGCTCTAAGCCTCACTGGGAGACATGATGGACGTCTAAAGCCACCCAGAGATCCGGCATTTCAGTTGCATCATGTAGGTGGACGAAGAGGTCAAAACAGTATAAAGCAGAGATTCCAACGTCACCCATCATCTTTCTCTGGGTCACAGGAATTGAGGGGATATTCAGCAACAAACATGAGTTTCTTCGACTTCCTCGCCTGTGTCGCCGGGGTTACCGGATCTATCCTCAAACGCCCTCTACGTCGCGCTGAGCAATGACCAACTTGAGTCTAATGGAGTGACTGCAGTGCAACAAGGAAAGCCCGAATCCTCAGCCGCCTTAGCGGAGCCCCGAACAAAGGGCTGCACCGGATCCCAACGCTGCCCCAACAGCATCACAGAACGACCCCGCGCCGACGAAGAAACGAGGCATCACATGTCTCCCACCTTAGAAGGAACGCCGCGGCTTGGTTGTGCCACATGCTTGCTCAACGACACCACCTCGAAGATGGCATACAGGGGTCCAAAATTCTCGGATAGGGCTGGCGCAGGCTGCGCGGGCAGGGAGAAAGTATGATGTCTTTTGACTCATAGTATTTCTGGCGTATACTTGCCGATCTGCACAAATTAACAAATCTGATGCAAATTCAGGCCACCTTCGGCCTTCCCGGTGTTTGAATAGTACCAGTAATGCGACTCCGCAATTGCCTCGAAGCAGTATGCCACCTTGATATCATCTACCCGTCTGGACACCCACAGGCTCCAATCCCGCTCGAAGTATTGTGCAGCTTGTCCCTGCAGCTAGTGCTTGTCCGTTTTATTGCTATGGCCTGCCACAGCCTGGAGCATGAAGCTGACTCAACCTGCTCGAACCAATCGCCTCCAAACAAGAGGTCGAGGAACGCTTCTCGAATCATGGCGCGTGCTGTCAGAAGGATGAAGCTTATGAGTGGCTCCGGCTTTCTTGAGGATGATGATGATGCTAAAAGCCCGAGAGATTTTGTACCAGGCATGGTTAAATGTCGCTGTCCAGATCCATGCAAGTAAACCCAAGACAAGTTCCCAGCTTTCGGCATGTCTTCAAACCTCCCGACAGCCCCCACCATCGAAAACTTGTGTAGATGGTCCCGAGATCAAAGGAGGGCGCCTGGCGGTCCAATTCACTCGAGGCCCAAGACATAAGAACGACTTCGGCCCTCAAGGTTGACGGGTTCGTGCCCACAAAGGGCCATCTATTACATGCAGATCACTGGCCCAAAATCCAATGTGTCTTAACGGGTCATCCACAGACTTGCCAGCGATGTCAGAACGTGCACAAGCTAAGCTGGGACATCGACTATATCACGAGAAGAAGAAGAACCACTTAACGCTCTCCGGTCGACCGCTCTTCACGTCAGAGTGATCAAAGGCGGTGCTCCGCATCAAGTCGTGATAGATTATCGAACAGCAGTCATCCATCGCGTTTACCGTTCGCAAAATTCAGACACAGCAGTTAATGTGGTAGAGGCGTTCCTGAAGCAATGCCCGCAGGTCGGCATCATCGTTGAATCCTCTACGATGAACTCGGAATCAAGATGTTGCAAAAATTCTACGACTACATTATAGAGTAGCACGACATCCTAATCTGCGAGTCAGGGGTCATGCGCCTATGTACTCCGTATGACGAGGGCGGAAGAGAGAACCTTACTTCTAGGGAAAGGCGTGTTGCCCCCTGGCTTTGCTGATCAAAGGCTGATGGCAAAACTTGATGCACTTTGCCAAACCCCTTTATCAGTTGCAGGGCTTGGAAGAACTCAAAGTGCTGAATTTAGCGACCGGCCACAGGTTGCCTCAAGGGCCGCCGAGGCCCCTGCAGCGGCTTGTTTATCTGGTTATTATTGTATAGACGGAAGACTCGAACAATTGCCTTCACCGTGACCAGAGCAGCAGCGAGAGCACGGACACGAAGAAGGCAGATCGAGACACTCACTGGCTGAACCCGCCTATTTCTCTAGCTCGACACGAGGCCGCGATCTAGTGGCCACGGAAAGGAGGACCGACGGCAAGGCCAGGTCAGGCGGAGGACGTGAAGCGAGGAGATGGAAGACAGCAGATGAAGGCGAAGATAAGTTCAAAGAGCCACGCGTGCGGATCGTACCGTTCGCTCCCCAAGGCCTTCCTTCGTGGATGGGGACAGATGCAGACCTGCCGGGCGATTATATGTCGTCGTTGTGGTACCTTCGGAATGTGGCTCAACTGCCAACTGGGTCAAAGAAGGGGCTTCTCTTGCCATTTCGTGCGCTTGTGATGAAATCGGGGGTTTGTCTGGGAAAGGCACAGGGCGGCGTGGATGTAGGTGGATACATGATGATGGCGATACCGTCAACGACGGCGGCGGTGAAAAACTCTGTATTTATGTGTGAGAAACGATGGTTTACAATAGTGCGTAGAGCATACGTATATGTTACGTCTATAGCCTTTCGCAAACGCGGCGCAAAATCCTCCTTTCAAAACTTGGCCAGCCCATGCACGAGGTTCTTTCCCTTCAGACAGATAAGCCGATATTTGGTGCTACTATGCAGCTATAGGCCGGGCCTGTCCTGACCTGGCCTGTTTGCGTGTTATTCTTTCTCCCCTCAAGACGGATTCCGCTGGTGTTGCTCGCTTTTCTGCAGCATGAGAGTGGGATGAAATGAATGGTCGATGAACCTGGGCGGGATGGCTTGATGAAGGGGGCGAAAAGAAGGTGAAGAGGAAGAGGTAGAGGCAGTCCTCGACAGCGCGCTAGGTCGTGGGGACCATCACCGGTAATGAACCTTTCATGTTGGTTCAGGACGTCCATTTGTACAAATCGCCGATGAGAGCTCCAGTCTCGACCTAACTGGGCATCATATATGGTATATCTGTCGAGGAAAATGTCTGGGGTGTCTGTGTATTATGTGCTATGTGGTCTAAACAAAAAGCAAGCGTCGAACTTGAGGGCCAATGGACATTGGGAGAGGTCTTGCTGGTCCGATTTGTTCTTCTCCCCATCCCAATTCCCGGCTTGATCGACGTCGATTACACCAGAGCCATGGGAGCGCATATTTTATAAGGCCGATCTGGTAGTTTCGTGCATCGCTTAGGATAGGCGAGAACTAGCTCTGCTGAGCAATAGCAGGCCGCTGATGATCCATCACCATCGAGTCTCACTTCCCGCTCCATGGATGCGTAGCTGGCAAGCGGCGCGGCTGGTTCCGGGTCGGTGCTAGGGCCCTCACTGAGATCATTCGTTCGTCTCAAGGAGATCCGCGTCCAGGAGAGCAAGTAATTATTCACTTCGTAAACAGCTTCTTCTCGACATACTTCTGTATGCGCTTGTCGCTCATGATGAATCCCGTGACGGCCACGCCTAGGAATAGCTTGGAGGCGGCCGCTGCTCCTTCGGGAGACATGGTATCCTGTGGTGTCGTCGTTGTCATCGTCGTTCTCGATGGCGTTGTAGAGTTGGTGGTCGCGAAGCCCAGTTCGGGGTAGGCAGCAGGCGGCGGTGATTTAATGGATTCCGCTTTCACTGCCTCGGCGGCTTTCTTCTTCTTCTCCTCTGCTGCAACACTTTCCCGTTCGTCTTCCTTCGCAACCCATTCCTTCACGACGTCCTCTCCGGGAAACATCCTCCTCCTCATCGCGATCCAAATCGGGACGAGCAGCTTATGCAGCCGGTCCTGTTCCTTCCTCACCCGCTCATCTACCCGGGGGCCGCACCCTCCTGAGTTCCCAAACCAGCTTGCCCCGCGCCACCCCTTACCGAAATCGCTCTGCACGCGACACCACGGGTGCGCGAACCGCGAGCCGATAAACTTCTGCGAGACTTGGCGGTAGTTCGCAGAGGTGCCCGGCGCCAAGAGATAGATGATGGTGGCCTGCTCGCGAAACTGTTTCAGATCGATGAAGAATTGCGCGTGAGACTGTTTCGGGATGAGCAGGGCGGAGAAGAAGCGTGCATAGTTGGTTTGTGAGTCGGGAAGCGAATGGATGTACCGCTGGAGGGAAGGGTGGATGATGGGGTCATCGTCTTCTGATTCTGGCGGCCGTATGAACGGTTCTGGGGAAGACATTATTGATGATTTGATGGTGGTGGCAGGCCAAAGCTTTCCTCGCGGCTGGTTTTAATACCAGAAGCTTCCTTCAGCTGACCTGAAACAGTCTTTGGGAGTTGGATTAAGAAATCAGTTTGGCCAGTTGAAGGAATCTCTTGAAGTCTCCGAAAACTTGAAGTGCCGACGGTCTGGCGATGGGGAGACGCGTTCAGAAATCCAAGGTATCTCGATGCCGTATGTCGATGACTAGGTAGAATGGGTCAGTGGTTTGGCAGGTGTGAGAAGGACAGAGGAGGAGATGCGAGGTCCTCAGGGCCAAGGCTCCAAGTCAGCCTCGTCTACGCGGCCGCTGTGTGAGGCGCCGTGCCAAGTCCCAAGACCGCGCTATAGAACTGTAGACATCTCAGACGGGATTGCGATCTGCATCATTTCAGAGCTTGGTCTTCCCCTCTTACGTGGAAGGCGTTTCAAATATCACTTTCAAAACGCAGATGAGGTGTTTTTCTCAGAAAGGGATGACGAAGCCGTCAGTCGCGTCGAGAACGAGGCGGACGACAAGGCTGATCGGATGGAGACGGGAGGAAAGGCCGGAACAACCACCGCAAAAAGTTGGAATTTCTGCCCTAAAGATCATCCCCAGAATTCCCCAACAGCTTGTCAATACTCTGGATGCTCAATACGGGACATTTCTCCTGAAGCTGGACGGGACCGCTTCAACGATGAATGAAGCCTCCAACCAAAGGGAAAGATGATTCCTCAGGTTCGAGCGACAAGGACCCTTTCGATACTGCCTAGGCACTAATAGGGTCCACATTTTATCAGATTCAGCCAGCCGTTTCTGGGTCTAGGCAGGAGATCATCGCCACTGAGCTTGTCACTGCACCCACCGAGCACTCCGTACATAATGTTCCGGCGCGGTCATCCTGGGTCGATCTTTTCGGATCGTATCTAGGGCCTGTGAAAGGCCAAGAAGTCTGAAAAGACCCCGTGGGGCGTAGTCGGGCGACGTTAGCCCGGCCCAAGGTCTTGGGACATGAGCCTGGGCATGCACCTCTCGAAGCTCGACATCCAGGAGAAAGTGCGGTGAGATGGGAATGGTCTCATGTGATACAGTCAACGTTCCCCTTGAACGTTGTCAACGAACACTTGACAAAAGTATCTCGCAGGCTGCTTGGCTGGTTTGCGCTGGTGTTCTTAGCTATGAACTCGTCCGTTCTGCAACCACCTGCCTGCATGCGGCGAACCGCGGTCTCGTGAGCACGGCTGGGCGAGAACTTCTACTTATCCCTTCCGATGAAAGACACTATGAGTGTGTACCGACTATGTCAGGACGAAAGTTGATAGGCGCTCGCCTGTCCCGGTCACAAGGTGCACGGGGCACTCTCGCGGGGTTCAACCTGATATTCGATCAGGATTCCAGTCAGAAGAGAATGTGAGCAGCCGAGGACAACAAAATAAAGGTTGTAAGCATGCCTTGACCTTTTGGTTGCATTTTACGGTCATGTCGGAGAATGAAGTCGAGACAGGAGTTACTCGATGCGGAAGGACAATATGCCCAACAGGATCCTCGATTTTCTATTGGGAAGCGTTAAGCGCCGGTCACAAAGAGGTCTGTCGGCAATCAGCGACAACTCCTCCCTTTAGGTCGCGGGCGATGGCAGGCCAAATCCAGGCCACTCGAGACGAAAGCCAGTCCACAGCTCGCCAAGGCTGCATATCGCAAAGAACAATGAACATGACTCGTTGTTTGTTTCTCTCTTTCTTCCGAGGTGCCTTGTCGCAACGGGAGAAAGGTGGAATGTGTGCGTGGAGGGGCAGGAAAAACAACCTCGGTCGGTGAGTGGCGGACTTGATGGTCACAAGCCGGCGTCTGCTTTTTCTGCAAAGTGGTTGTTGCATTAGCCTTCTTTTAGTCTCCATTTAGACCCGATCCGGTCTCCACTCTGATTGGCTTCTCGAAAATGCCTCATAATAAAAAAGTCCACTCTTCGGGCGGGGCTGTGGGTCAGACCCACCATTTGCCCCCATTGACCGTGCGCGGCCCATTCACAATCCCCAGCAAAGATCCAGAACTCCTCCCACCAGCCCACTGACAATTTGCATTTGGTACTGTGAATAATGGTTGTGATATCCCACAGTTCTCCTGCGTCTGTAGTTCTGTAGTCGTGGTCTCCTATTACCCACTGGCTTCTGGCGGCCTCGTCTACAGATTTATAGTGTGGAGGATGTTCGCTTGTCAATGGAGCTATCGAGGTATCCCCACACTGTAGATGGATAAACTCGTTGCGTAGCTGCAGCACAGCTTTGTCGACCTCGGTGAGGAGATCACGCTACATGCAACCGCGTTCAACGCCCTTGCTGAGAATGCATGCATCGCCAACTGTCAAAAGTCTTGTGGTCAGCTAGGCCAACGTTGCCCTGTGCTTCAGAAGGGTTTCCTTCGGTGTTACCGGCGTACATGCTTCTAGAATCATTCTTGTAGGGAACATCGTAGCACAGACCGCCTGTTCACCGTCGCACGACGTAAAGGGGTCCATCGTTTCATGCGAATGCTTTCCGCTGTGGGTGTCTGCATCAGGCGAAGAGATCTCTACAAATAATGCATTTGGAAAAGCCCCCGAGCGAAGAACACGATAGCGCCTGGATCTGATTGGCTCTACAGTCCGGACATCTGCATCGTATTCACGCAGCTGCCCTGTGAGCGGCGGGGACGGGTCTCAGCAATATACCCAATGCAGTACTGCACTGTCAGAGGATCATGTCATGTTTGAAGGTCTCGCGGAAAGGAGAGATTGGAGGAACAGGATGTGGCCCTTGTGACTTGGATTCGTATCTGCGGCGGTAAGCCCTGCTCGAGCCGTGCGGCCCGCAAAATGGGCACAACAAGAAAGAGTTTCCCCTGAGCCCTGTGAGCATCCGAGGGTAATCTTCAAGCATGGTATTGATTCGAGGATCCTTTTGGGATTTTCCCGGTTGCCCAAAGATCCAAGGATTTTGTGTGCGTGTCTCGGGAGGCTTGGAGGTTGACGTCATGTCAGCTGACGGAACAGGGCGGCACTCAGCCTGGGGCATACATAATAAATACAAACAAATGCAGGGAAGGGCACAAGGATGACACGCGTGGGACTACCAAGGTTAGTATTGCTAGTGTGTACATGTCAGGGACCAAGTTTGATGTCGTATCAAGAAACCGAAACCGCTATACAACGAGGAATACCTAGTTTCGAAATACTTATTCCCACATGTGTCAGATCACTCATGTTCCATTGTGAGCAAGACTTGTCTGGTAGCCAATCGAGATGAGGCGTACTAAGCCATCGTGGGGTTTGTGATTAGCTTCATTTCACAGGCCAAGCGATTCGGCAGCAGTGAAAACGACATGAAGCAGTTCTAGGTCAAGCCGTCAATGATGTGGCCAGAAAGTCCAAGAACTTGATTTTGGGACAGCAGGCGCCATCCACCCCACGGCAGTTCGTGGTAGGCGGTAGTGTTTGCTCGCTGTACCAACCACAATAATGGTTAGGAAATGACAACGCGTTCCCGTTGGATAGGTCTTGAGATGACGCGTTAGAACCCGGCATGCAGTCTGGTCATATTGCGTCAAGGGGGAACCAAGGGTGAAAAATGCTGGTCATGATGCCTGCAGAACTTGCCTAGATATGTACCAGTCACGAACCACAAGGGTCCATGGGAGTTGCTCCATCCCAGGGGGTGCACCCGGAATGGGTACCTTTGGAGACATGTCACCATAAAGATGATCTGACCGTGGCGAAGATGGGCAGGATAGGCATGCCGATCGCAGTAACACCAGGGCGCCGCTTCTTGCTGGTATTGCTGGTATTAGGTTCCGTTCCCTGACTCGCGAGACTTGCCATATCCCAGCACACACATTAGGCTGCCCATGTGGCGGTATCAACATGGGCTGTGAGGTACACGAAGCATATAAATTTAGCAGTCTTTCTGGAGCCCGTCCAGCCTGTGTGCAAAGCGGTGTACCAGAACCTCTTTATCGATCCTAGGACATGAGGTACAGATTATCCTTCAAGTACCCTGCAGTAGTTTGCCATTATTTTCCCTCTCTTATTCTGGCATTAGCACGAGGAGTGCATTGACACCGATCGATACCCATTTGTGGAGGGGCGCAATTTCACCAGCGCACAAGGCCGCAGCGACCACCAAGTGGATAATTCGGGAGGCGAAAAGCCTACCTAAGTACCTACCTAATGGAAAGCGAAGGCCGTTTTACTGGTTGGATGTCCGTGTCGAGGTGAGGTCAAGTGGGCGGTTTCGAGTGCAGACATGGGGCGCCTTTGCCGCAAGGGAGGATTGATCAACAAAGAGAGACCAAGTCCGAGATCTGGACGAGTTGCCGTTTGAGAATTAGTGAGTGCGCCAGTCGGCCGTCGGTGGGTAGTGGGCGGCGGGCTGTGAGGTGGGATTTTGTTGGCGTTTTGGGGGGGAGCCACATGCCCATAGCGAGCCAAAGAATCAACAATGGCGCCTACTTGTTACAAATTAGGGACTGGTAACAAGGACGTGTTTAAGATTGCGCCTAGGTTGCTTGGTAGGCTCTTAGGTACTTTAGGCGCCTGGCAAGCTGGGTACTTGTACCAAAGGGAAACCCAACAACAAGACGCTGGGCCTCCTTCTTGTTGGTGCCCCTCTTGGGTCTCGTCTGGCCTGGCATCTTCTGGCTGGTTTGCTGGCCGCTGGCTGACTGACTTGTCTGTGTGTGTGTTTGGCTGCTCACAAATCTTTTTCTCCAAATTTCTCTCTCGCCATCAATCCATCCCATCTGGGTACCGTACCATCACCACCATAATTGGTGCCATCCTCCTCCCACCTTCTCGCTGGCAGCTTTTCCGGCTGCCCGTGTCTTTTCCCTCATCTTTCACCCATTTCCTCTTCACCGTCGCCCTTGTCACCCTTCTTCCCTCTCCAAATTTTTCTGCCCTCTCCCCTCCCGCCACCCGGCTGCTCCCTACAAGGTAGAAGCACACCACCTGCGATTACCACACGGTACTTGGCCAACTACCACTTTCCGCCCTTGCCATCCCACATCCGCCTTCTTCCTACTGCTCCTCTGATCCAGCATCTTCGGTCTCTTGACCAACTCTTCTCGTAAGCAATCTCTTCTCAATTCGATTTCATATACCTGCATCTCACTCACGCTGTCCAGATCCCCATTTCACCAAGTTGCGTTCTCGCAAATCCCAAGACACTGCAGAACGCCACCTACCGCGCCGCAGCCCTCACCAACTCCCTCTCTCCGAAGACTGCCCTGTCTACGCTCCTCCACTCCCTTGGTGTTCAGAGGAATCGACTTGTCCACAATTCACAAAATGTCCAAGTCTAATTTATAACAGCGGCGGTCCCTGTGGGCCAACCCTAATCCATTTTCCCGTGCCAACAGCACAGTGCCAGCCAGGTACCTGTGTTGGTAGCCTTCCTGCCTGAACTTGGATCGTCATCAGTGTCGGGCTGTGGGAGACATCTCCTGCAATCTCTTTGAATAATTCCATATTCACGGCTTGTCTGTTCTGCTCGCAGTCCAGATGGCACATCACCAAAAACATCAGATGGACGTCACCCGAAGTAACTCAACCATGCAGAGTCTCCTGAAGATGTTCAGTCTGTCCAACGCCCCCACAGTTCCTCTCGGTGACGACGAGCTCAGTGCAGATGCGGACGAACCACCGGACGATCAAGTATCTCCACTGACCATCGTTCATACGCCAGAAGCCCTTTACCACCGATCCAATGCTCCTCCAAACCCTCGCCGCGAGTCTCTGTTGACCCGTGCCATCCTGGCCGAATCCAAGCACGAAGATGATACCCATAAAGTGGCGGAGCGTGGGCTGTCAACGACCTCCTCCCACAGCACGGCGAGCATGCCTTCGACCGCCGAGTTGACGAGTGATGGAGACACCAGTCAGTCGCGGTCAGCGACACCTAGTCCGCCGCCCCCTTCACGACGTTTCGGCCAACTCCTCAGTCTCAAGAAAACCGACCCCAAGGTGATAATTGCCCCGCTAACCAAGGACGATAAGGGAGCGGTGGCAGAAGTCGGCGAAGCAGCAGTCGAGAAGACACTAGGCCGTAAACGCTGCATTATGTTTGCTTGCGGCGGCACGGACTCGGAAAAGAGCAAAGACAGCGCAATATTAAGCAAGCAAAAGCCGGCGGCTGAACAACCCGAGGTTCCCAAGCGAAAGTCTGCAATCAGCTTTGCTTGTCCTTCGCGAACAAGCCCAAACGAGATCAAAAGCTCTCCCTCCAAATTACGGGCCGAATCAAAGAACGCACGTCGACCGTCTCCTGCCCCCGTCCGACGCAAGTCCACTTCGACCGAGTCTGTCGACCTCTCTGGCCGCTCTGCCGACACAGCCAAGATGGCCTCTCACGAGAAATCGAAACCCAGCCTACCCTCTCCAAAGGCAACCTTTCATGAGTTTGGTACATCTCAGGACGAGACTGACTCATGGGTTGATAAGCCTGACGTCCACAAAGAGAGGCTCACCTTTGATGATTGCATGAAAAAGGAAAACCGCATCCGTCAAATTGGACGAGAAGCGGAAGAGGAGGCGGAGGAAGAAGAACGGGAGCAGGAGGAGCTCGAAAACGCATCTGAGGACGAGGACAATGACAACGAAGACGACTTCGCCCCATCCGATGATGGCTCCGATGGTGGCAATGAATCGGACGACGAAGGAGGCTTTGCCAGCTCGGACGAAGAAAGCGATGGCGGCTCTGAATATCGATTTTGGGCTCCTTCCAACACCAGCGCGGCTACGAGCAGTGAACATCTCAATATCAGTCACTTCAGTGCACGCCGACATTCCGAAGCCAGTTCTGTCGAGTCTTTGACCCGTTCGAGTACCCCACCCCTCCACTCGATGATCAGGCAAGCTGGGAGACGTCGCAGCAATACCTCCAAGGTGCCCAAAATGAGACCCGGCACCCCGGAGTTACCGGACAGTACCGACTTTGTGTGTGGGACTCTCGATGAGGATCGTCCCCTAGAGGCCGCATATATCTCTTGTCGCGAGCAGAAGAAGCGGGAGAAACACATCCCCATCCCACAGGACATCGATCCAAGCTTCCCGACCACTGACCCGGAAGACAACGAAGAAAATACTGATGACGATGAGCTCAACGAGTCACAGCATAGCTCGGAGGGCCCGCGATGGCTGAAGGATGGGTTTGCTGATTTTGACGAGGAGCATCATGGACGCCGAAAGCCATCGTTCACCATGCCAATCGCTCATTCACCCTCTCCACCTCGTACCGCATTTGGCGGAAGAGTAGGCCGCAGCACTCACCGCTCCCCACCGCCGAAGCACGCGAATGCACGGTCGCCGCCGCCCCGAAAATTGTTTGGCCATTCCCCCACCAGGTTCAGGTCACCTTTCCCGTCAGCGAAGTTGCGCTCCCCTCGTGGCTCGCCTACGAATGCGGGCGTTCCAACCAGGATCAATCCGAGAGGACTCGCTCAACGTCCGACTATGGAGCGGACAGCGTCCCTCCCAGACACTCCTAATCCATTCTTCAAAAACTTCCACATTGGCAGTCCTTCCATTTCCAACATCGCGTCTGGGGCTGTCACACCGGCCGTTGAGGAGGCCCCTCGTCCGGACATGCACGTTCGCGGCCCGGTCGACATTGTCGCCGGGCTTGAAAAGAAACGGCAAAAGCGCAAAGAAAAATACTGGCGTCAACACTGTCGTAAAGCGGCCAAAGAACAAGCCGAACGCAAGCCGATTCCAGGTCGAGGAGCGGAAAGAATGAAGGAGCTTGGTCTCGAATGTGCCGAGCGAACGAAAGGCTACGGTATCGGACAGCAGACCCAGCTGGTGCTGTCGCTTTGATTCCCTTCACCAAACCCACTTCGACACATATACTGTTTATTTGTCTTCCATTTCTACTCGGGCTTGCTTGAGCCTTTTTGAACATATATCGGTGCGGTTTTGCGCTCGAGTATGACGAACTTTATGACGGGGCTGGCGGGGGCGAAATGGGTCATTGCACAGTCCGCATACCTGTTTCGTAGCAGAGCATGGTTTTAGGATCCAGGGCCTTTTATGCATAGCACTGGCGTACGTCGCGAGGAGGCGAATCTTGCGTTGTAAATAAGTGACATGACCATCAGCATGGTCCCCAGAATAACAGAATGGCTCTCTCGAGTGATAGACTCGATTGTAGAGCGCGGTATGCACCAAGCAAAGAGAAGTGTGCTTGTAATTGTATCTCTCCTATTCCGTTCATCTTTGCTGGACAGCAAGCCCTCAGCCCATTCTTCCAAACCAGGCTGGATGTGGTCTCGTGAGCTGGCAGCGTCACGTGTCAACAACATCACGTGAGGTACCTCAACGGAAGACCAACTCCGCGTATTACTTGGGGATCTTCCTCTTTTAGGAACTTTTCATACGGTGGCACCCCATCACCTCACTCTTGCCGTGAGATCTGGCCGAGTGCCTCCATCGTTCTTATTCTCGTTATCCGCCCTTCTTGTCCGTTGTGTGACTGGATTATCACAACAAACACCTCCAACACATTCAAAGCTGCCGACATGTGGATCATCAACTGGTGTATGTGTGACACCATTCTTGCATCTGCGCAGAGGACAGACTGACCTGATGGCTCTATCACTCTAGTCTACGATATCCTCGCCTCGCTAGGTCTTCTCAACAAGCATGCCAAACTCCTCTTCCTCGGTCTGGACAATGCAGGGAAGACAACGTTACTACACATGTTGAAGGTGAGCAGACACTGAAGCAATAACCTCTGGAAATGATGTGGTGCAAAAATGGATCTGGAGCGAATCGGGCATGGCAGAGTGTCGGGGATGTCGACCCTCACCATGATCTTCAAAGAGCTGCAGTTTCAAACATATTCGGTTGTGGAGCACGCGCGTGCTGACGACGTGTGCTATTTTACAGAATGACCGTGTCGCAATCCTTCAGCCTACATTACATCCCAGTACGTCCTGCTCTGAAATTTGGAGCCTCAACCCGACAGTCGAGACTGATAACCTCTGGTACAGCGTCCGAAGAGCTCGCCATTGGCAACAATAGATTCACAACCTTTGATCTAGGTGGTCACCAACAAGGTACGTTACATGCCACCTGGCTCTCATTTCCTTCGACGGCAGATGGACTGAATCCTGCGCAGCGCGCCGTCTCTGGCGCGACTACTTCCCCGAAGTGTCGGGCATTGTCTTCCTCGTCGACGCAAAGGACCACGAACGTCTGCCCGAAGCCAAAGCAGAACTGGACGCTCTCTTGGCAATGGAAGACCTCGCAAAGACGCCGTTTTTGATCTTGGGAAACAAGATCGATCACCCAGATGCCGTGTCGGAGGATGAATTGAGACATCAGTTGGGTCTGTACCAGACTACGGGGAAGGGCAAGGTGCCCCTCGAGGGGATCAGACCGATCGAGGTGTTTATGTGCAGTGTTGTCATGAGGCAGGGCTACGGAGAGGGTATCAGATGGCTGGCGCAATACGTTTGAAAGATTGCAGAGCGAACCATGGATAATGACAAAGGGGAGGTAATACCGACAGCCTACAACGACCGGTACATCCATCTGTCAAGCCACAATCCCCATAGTCCTGTGTCAATCACCCTTGGCCTGTCAAGCAATCAAAACAATCCATCCACCTATTCATCCAGCTATGCACCCACTCATCCATCCATCACGCATCAAACCAATCAAGCGCTCTCCCCTGATCTGAACCGCAAACAACCAACACAGAGCCATAAATTCAATAAAAGCCCTCCACAGAAAGGACCCCCGACCCCGAAATCTCAACCTACCTTCTGCCGCGACTCCTCCTACCCCTTCGTGTGTACGGCCTCTGCAAGGTGCATGGAAATTCAACACAGGCGGAAAGAATATAGAGGGAAGGAAAGGGAACCTCTCTCTCGCTGGCTGGTTGGCTGGCTGATACGATCGAGGGCGTTTGTCTTTACCTTTTGCTCGTTATTTTTTCTCCTTTCCCTCCTCGTTTCGGTTTGGTTTGGTTTGGTTTGTTTTTTGTCCCTTCTTTCTTTTTGGGAGCATATCCGGACGGGAGACAAGAGTGAAGGCAGAGAGACACACAACACTCACATACACGCAACGAAATGAAACGAAAATGGAACGGAAATGAGACGAAAACCAAAAACTAAACCGTTGGGCAACTCAAGAATAAGAACAAGAACCGGGGCCAGAACCAAGGGGTGTTAGAATGAGAATCGAGAATCGCAATGAGGATCACAATGAGACATGACATCCAAAACCCCCCCTCCTCTCGCTCGGACCGGAGATAGAGATTGAATCTTACCGAATTATCAGTTTCAAACGATGCAAACGAATCGAGTCCCCTGTTCCGTTTACACAGAGAGTATATATATGTCCCTAGGTATGTGCTCTTTTATGTGTATATGCTATATTGTGTGTATGTGCGTGCGCGGCTCTCATCTCGCTCGCTCGCTCGCTCTGGGCGACCTGACTGGGGATGTCTATGTTCTCCGTACCATTATCATATGGTCTCCTTTTCCGCTCTTTCAGTCTTCGGCCGACTATTTCTCTAACATGTCGTGGTGGCCTCTGGACATAATACATAGGTGGAGGGAAGCCCCCATTCTCAGCCATAATCAGATCAGACACGGCATTCGAAGATAGGTAGTTAAAATGGGTGAATGGATGTCTACCAAACCTATCGTAGATCCTCAGTCACCTTGCGGTATTCTCGTGTTCTCAGTTAACAATATGCCTTGACAGCAGCGACAAAACAGACACCAAAAACATACTACAACTCGAAGCCATCTTGATACAGAGGGAGCGGATACGACTGCTAACTTGATGCGTAACTGTTCTGTTCTGCGTTGTGTGGCGTGGTATGATCTGCTTTATTCTTGTTCTGCACCGTGCATTCAATCATTCCGTGGGCGTTTCTTGTCCATCCTTCATCACCGCATCGAAAAGGCATGAAAGCAAAACCGTCATTTGCATGGTACACTTGGAACGGGGAAAGTAGTCTCGCCTTGCGCCCTGCGCTCCAGCAACATCTCTTTTCCTTCTTTCGAACAGACAACACACAGGTGCACGTACACACCGAATAGGAGGAGGTCAAGTTCTGAGTGATCAAAAATGCGTTCTCCACGTCCCCGACACCACAACCCCATTCCACAACACTGTCACCATCCGTAAACCCATTTCCGTTGTAAGCCCATGAAAAGAACAAATAGATCACCTCATCCTTGAACCTTGAATCGACCCGATACATCGCCACCATATTGTGGTGATGACTGGTTTTGCCATTGTTGATACTGGTGGTGACGGGCGTCCGACCTCGAAATTTGGCAGTCGGAGGCTGGTCAACGTATCGATGAAAATAACTAATTGGGAAGTCTTCGCAGGTCCACAAAGATGAGATGTTCATGGGAACGTGGAAAATATTAAGTAGTGGCGGCGGGTCGCATGCTTCGGAACCGGAGGGAAAGGACACTGGTCGAGTGCGAGACTGGATCGAGGGGGAAGCCAGAAGGTGACCCTATCTTCTTCCAAACCTGCTATCAATGACATCGAATCAGCCCGAGTTGAAGGGACTAGGTTTTGAATTTGCGAGGCGGAGTAGTGGACCCGCTTGAGCTCTTGGAGCCATACACGTACTTTTGTTTCTTCTCGGCAGGTTTGAGAATCTGGTACAAGTGCGAGTCAGCAACGGACAGTGCAGGGCCCAAATATGGTTTCGACGTTTTTCGCCATACCTGGAAGGAGCATAGCAGACTTTCATCCACGCTCATCATTGCACCGGCATTATCAAACTCGCCGCAGTAGTTTGGAGCGCTGAATAGGGTGACCAGTTGTCGCTTGGAGAAGAACTCGTAGCCATCTTCTACCACTTGATGGGCACGACAGATAAGGTCCATGTCATGTTTTTGCAGGAAACGTGAAACGACATCGGGCCCAAAGGTGAACGAAACACCTCGATCATTCTCGCTCCAACCTGTGATGTCTTTGTCGGGGTCTGACCAGAGCAAATCGCAGAGGAGGCCGCAGTCGGGAATCTATCATGCGTTAGCAGGGTCAGCACTCATAGCACAAGTGAAGCTCCAGCCTCCTTGCAGGGCAAAAGAACACTTACGTCTGTCGGTCGCATGACACGGCGGATTTGCTCCATCGAGTTCAAATCGGGACTCAAACCTCCATGCATGGTGAAGATCTTCTCGTCGATGATTGCAGCGATAGGCAAGCAGTTGAAGCAGTCCGTAAATGTCTTCCAGAGCTTAATGTTGTATCGGCGTTTGCACTCATCGTAGAAGCCGTAGATACGGTTGATGGAGGCGCACTCGTGGTTGCCGCGCAAAATGAAGAAATTCTCGGGGTACTTGATCTTGTAGGCCAGAAGCAAGCAAATCGTCTCAAGGGATTGCTTGCCTCGATCCACGTAGTCGCCAAGGAAGAGGTAGTTGGCTTCGGGAGGGAAACCGCCGTACTCAAACAGGCGGAGGAGGTCGTAGTATTGGCCGTGAATGTCGCCACATATCTGTCACCATCATTGTCAGCTTTGACGGTTGTTCAGGGCGCGTGGGTTTGTTATTCGCAGGAGGAGCAAGGTACCTTGATCGGGGCTTCCAGCTCCAACAATATCGGCTGGGAGATGAAGATTTCTCGTGCCTTTGTGCACAGATAGCGAATCTCGGATTCGAGCAGCTGAACCTGCTTCCCCGGTCTGCTTCCTCTGACCTCTAACAGGCGATCAATGACGGAATCAAGGTCCATCTCATTTTGGTCGGCCATGGTGGGATCGCCGCGGGCGGGGCAAGGGGTGGAAAGGAAGGGCGGGCGGCGACCAGGTGCGGTCGGATGAGGGAGAAATCAAGGAAATCGATGTATCTTAAGGTGTGCAGATGGGAATGCCAGTCTGCTGAAGAAGAATTTCCGTCAGTCTGAGATGAATTAGTGGGAGGTTGTGAGAGGCAGCTGACGCAAGTGACTAGTTCGGGGGGCAGGATGTATGTACCAAATTTGAATTTTCGACCCCAGGACAGCCACCAAACGGGCTCAGCGAGAGGAGTCCCAATTGGACTTGACGAGGAAGAGACGAGGACCGCAAGGGGGGACAAGGACCTTCAGCAAAGAGAGGTGTTGTTATCGTGGCGGATGTCCAAGGGAATCTGTGGCACAACCAGGCAGGGCTGAGGAGGTTTTTCTCGGCGCAAAGCGGGCAACGCAGGTGGACTTGGTGAGCACTGAGCCGAGAACAAGTTGACACGGTACGATTTTTCTCTCTTTGCAGATAGTGGGCCGGTGTCAGCGAAGCAGGGGGAGCGCAGTCTGGCGAAGAATGAGGATGGAATGAAGTGAATACTGATCGCAGGGCGATTAATACAGGCGAAATGTGAGGTGGACTGCGGGAGGATGAGAAAGGCAGCGCAGGTTTGCGGTGCAGGTGGCTATGGGATAAGATGGACGGGATGAGTGGTCGGTGGACGGTGGACGGTGGATGGTGGATGGTGGAATGGAGGCGCCAGAGGCACCAGCGGCACCAGAGAGAGCGAGCAGGGGAAGAGGGTGGTAAGTGGTGAGTGCTAAGTGGGTGGAAGGCGGGATTCGTTCTGATTTTCTCAAATCCTGGCAGGCGAGGCGGCGAGGCGGTATCCTGTCTTGGCACCAACACCGACCCCAACGCTCAGCCTTCAGCTTCGGTCTCGAGGAGCAAAGAGATCCTGTCTGGTTTATTGTTTTCTGGTTGTTTATGTCGTCTGATCCAGCCAGCAGAAGCACAGGCACCCCGACGAACAAGAGGGGGAGGGGGGGGAACAGAGGAAAGAGACAGTTATGTGTCCATGCTGCCAACACGCAATTTCGGTGAGGAAAGAGAAGGACACAGAGAGAACAGAGAGATGAGAGATGAGAGAGGGATGAGCAGTCGCCACGAGTGACATACAACAGACGAACACCCGCAACTACCTCGATCACCATCCCTCAGTCCCTCTGTCCTCTGTCCTCAGTCTTCAGTCCCCTATGGCGCAGCTGCGAACTTTGTGCAGCACTCATTACCATCCGTCCATCCCACCCACCATCCACAACCACTATCCGCAGCTTCAAATGCCTTTCACTTTTTTACATTCGCTTGAATCGCCATCTAGTGTATTTGATAATACGGGAGGTCCCTTCCATGCTGACATAAACCAGTGCCTGTCGCCTTCTATCTCCATCTCACGTTAGAGATTGATCGGGTTGTTGTAATCCCTCTCCCCCTGTGCCTTTCCCGAGCACGAGCCGAAGTCGTCGTGGCGACCAAAGGAATGCAGGCCACCAAACAATTTTCTATCAATGCATACATTGTGTCCAACGGCCCAAGAAACTCTCGGCAATACCTTGTTGTTGTGGTTTCGACCGTCGGCTTTTGAGTGGTCGCTTACGCGACGACTCGGATTCTTGCCTGGACATCTAGCTTGGACTGACGCAGCGCATCCACACAGAATCATTTGACGCTGCTTCTCTTCTCCGGATTTGTC